CTCTCTCTCTCTCTCTTCTCTCTTCTTTCTCCTTCTCCTTCTCTTCTCTCTCTCTCTCTCTCACTCTCTCTCACTCACTCTCTCTCACTCTCTCTCTCTCTCTCTTCTCTCTCTCTCTCTCTCTCTCTCTCTCTCTCTCTCTCTCTCTCTCTCTCTCTCTCTCTCTCTCTCTCTCTCTCTCTCTCCCCTCTCTCTCTCTCCTTTCTTCTCTTCTTCTCCTCTCTCTTCTCTCTCTCTCCTTCTCCTCTCCTCTCCTCTCTCTCCTCTTCCTCCCTCTTCTCTCTCTCTCTCCCGTCTCCCTCTCTCTCTCTCTCTCTCTTCTCTCTCTCTCTCTCTCTCTCTCTCTCTCTCTCTCTCTCTCTCTCTCTCCTCTCTCTCTCTCTCTCTTCTCTCTCTCTCTCTCTCTCTCCTCTCTCTTCTCTCCTCCCTTCCTTCCCTCCCTCCTGCCTTCCTTCCCTCCCTCCTTCAGGCATTTTTTGAAGTTATTTTACTCAATTATTACTTTAAACTAGTAAAAAAAACAAAAAACATATTGTTTGCCTATAATCAGAGCAGTAGTTGGACATTTAATCTTATTAATCACCTCTAATAACACCCAAGGATTTAACAAATAGAAGTTATGAAAGAGGCGATGAAGCCATTAAATACAGGTCTAGGTTTAAACTGATCTTTGTTAGCCTCCCCTTAAAGTATCAGTTTTACAACAAAGAAAACGTGTGTTTGGGGAGGACTATTACTTTTTGTGTTTTCGTTTAAGTTCTAATTCGCTCATAGATTTTTGATATGGCTAATGTAATTTGCCTGTCTCTTCTTTGTGTTTTCGATTGATTATTGGGAATTACTGTAAAGTGCAACATCCTCTTTGATAAATGATTTGCCAGTTCTCTCAAAACTAGATGAACTTGACATTTCGCATAGTGATTATCAGCTCACGGTAACGGCAATGGATATTTTCATTATCCATAATAATGAATACTGATTACGAGTTGATAAATCGATGGTAATAGGTATGTTATTTCATATACCAACTTGATTTTTGTGCTATATACTACGTGCATTTTGACATTTCATGCAGTCCAAAATTTGGTTTTCCCACATTATTGAACAATGCAAGATCATTTTACCAAGAGTTTGTTTAGTTGCAAAATAAAATTATGTGAAATGGTGAACGCATATCAAAATTATGATAAAAAATGTTTTCACACGATCGGATGAAGATGGGCTTACTGATCTCCCTGTGTGTACCGTAGTTTCGATTCCAGGAACGAAGACCTCACATGACGTGGCACTGATTGCTGGCATTAAATGGTCAGTGAGTGTGCCAAGTCGCAAAGCCCAATCGAGAGGGAAACCGGGCAAGAACAGAAGGGAGATTGGAAGTGGAAAAAGGGGCCGTTGTTTTCTGTGCTTTGTATCGCTGAAATCGAGAGAACGTTTTCATGTCACTCTCTCACTCTTCTCATCTCCCCCTCGTCTTTCCCTTCCGCTCTCTCTTTCCCCTTTGACCTTTCTGTTGACCCCTGTCTCTTTGCCTTTTACCTTATGTCATGCTTCCCTTCCCCCCCCCCCCCCCCCCCTCAGTTTTTACAGGTTCGTAAATGGGCTCTGGAGTAATTGCAATTAGACAGCCGGTTATTTCTGGTTAATGAACAATTTAGTTAATAAGCATAATTGCAGCTTCAGGCTGCATGCTCCTTGACATTTCGACTTCTTCCTTTACGCCAAACTGCTACTGGTTCAAAAAGAGTGGCCACAACGTCGTATTTTGATATTGCATAACACATTACGACATTTTATATTCTAGTACATTGGTAGAAGTAAGATAACCACAATCCTTTGCAGCAACTGGTGTATGGGCGCGACATCGTATTGTATGCCCCAAATTAGGGCAAAACGTAATCATATCTTCTAGTACATCAGATAAGGACAAGTAGATGCTTGCGCGGTGCCTGAATGATGTGTGGAATTCATGTCGAACAAATTGCAACAGGAACAACGAAGGGAAGAACAAGAAAACCAGGAGAAGAACAAGGTCTTCGGCATATTCGTGTGTTTTCTTGCTTTTCCCTTTGTTGTTCCTGTTACTGAATGATTGTATCACGTGGTACGGATTGGAATTTCGCGCGCGCCAACCTTAGACTTTCCCTCAGTCGTGGCGAGGCGGTAATTTAATCATCTAACTTCTATGACGTCATTCCAGTGTGCCTCGTGAATTATTTTATGATTCACTAATTATATTAATTAATCATAGATAATTATGTGTCTAAAGATTAAATCCAGTCTTAAGCTAAAAGGTAAAGATGCTTGGAACACAAATACAAAATGCGTTACTGTAAACTTAAATAAGTCCTTTTTCGAAACAGCATTTTGAAGACTAACTGAAACTTTGCCATTTCATGTTATTTTTATTTCCTTGTAAGTACATACTTTTTTCCCTTCGTCTTCCGGACTTTCTCTTCCGTTTTAGTTTGCTCTGATAAACTGAAGGTGAAAAGTACAG